TAAAATATAGTTTGACTTAACGCTCATTATTATGGAAAGAAACCTAGTAATGATTTCAGATTCCTCTGCCACTGCCATCTGGTCTTAAACTAGATAGAGCTGCTACTACTATTACTGAGGTAACTAGAAAGCATACTACATAATACGTAATATGAATAAATTTTACCTAGACACACAACAACTGATCATCCTAAAACAAATATTAGTCGTGAACAAGAATCGTTGTCCGTTGAGTATGGATAATGGAAATATTGGATTCTAAAAACATCGGCAATTAGGTTTAACAGGTAAAATGAAATTAATAACCAGTCAGGCAAAGTAAATTGGATACTCGGATGTTGGATAACGACTATAAATTAACGATGGATATTAATCTGACACCAGAATAGTATATTTCAAAGGTTTAATTATATTCCAATTACAGATTTTGTGATTAGTAGATATATGAACAGACATTTGCATTTTAACGAAAACTAAAAAAAAACATGCAATAAAAAACCAACGAACCATGATTTTAAGTTACCCCTATTAATTTACTTTTTCAAATACTTCCATTTAATTTATCACGTTTTGTAGTGAATTAGCAAAATATGAGTACCTTTATTTATTAAATAAGTAACTAGGAACTATTTCTATTCAATGCTTACTTTAAACCGATACAGTACCTTGCAGCTATCTACAATTAAATCCATCAAAACCAGTTCAGTTGTTTCACGGTAGAAGATTTGCAAACATTGATACTAATTAAAATTCAAAAACTAATACATTTTCAACTCGTATTACCCTTAATATTTAGAATTTATTGCACTATTGTTCAATTGTATTTTTAAGATAATGTTTTTTTGAGAATTTAGAAAGGTTCAAATTATTAGTAATTGCCAGTAACAGGTATTCAAAACTGACCTTTTTTTTACGCTTGTGATGCTTGTCACATAATAACAGCAGTTGGGACTTATCCCTCCCACACATTAACCACTGTAAATCCTGTACACCAAGATCAACAGCAGTGAACACAACGTTATGACACTCGGGAGTCCCAGGAAAAGATTAAACTGTCTTTGAACCCGCAACGAAATTAATGAGAAGAAAAATGGAGAAGTTGGAAATACAGTAAATCCACTTCCCTCCTTAGCAAAGCGGGAGATAAAACGAAGTAAAAGAGGCATACACTTTTTAAACAGGCAAGCACAAAATATTATGGGTCCTAAGTGAGCTATATTTGATTTCTATAATATGCATAGCAAAATCACCTAAACGCGCGTAAATTCACCCTAGTTGATACAAGATCCCCATAGTATACCGCCCCAGATGTCACCTGCAAGCTATTCAGCATTATATTACGTTCATTATACCAAAGACTACATTACATACACGGCGCTCCACACGCTGCCGCGCTGGCAGAATGCCCGGCGTGGGTTGAGTAGAGGCGTGACCTCGTGGCGGCCATCGGAGTGGGAATTCTCTCGCTCTGTAATGTGATTGCCGCTTTGGTACGGAGCGAGATTTCCTGGAACTCATGCAAGTTATGTTTGCGAAAGAGATGGCGGAGCGGGACAGGGAGAGGTTTAGAACTCTGCTGGCCCGCCAGGCCCGGGAACGGGCCAGGTACCGCAGACGACTCAGGCGTCGGAGATCGCAAAACGATCTCCGTCCTGTATAAGCGCAGGCCTGGGGCTAGTAGGTGAGCTATCTGTCACCCTTGCAGAAGCAACATAAAAATCCGACCGATGGGTGGTATCAAAGGGGATTTCCACAAAGAAAAAAAAAGCTCAAATTCATCGATACGAATACTATCCCTTTTCTACTGTCAGTCTTTTCCCTATCTTCATTTTTATAGTACTCTTAGTTTTCCTATTCTCATATATCCTAAAGTGCACATCCGTTGAACTTGGAAAGTTAATAAAATATGGGTGTTCTGTACCCCCATCATCTACCCCCTAGGTCACAGACAGCTCTAAAATTTCATCACCATCATTTCATCTCATGCTCTCTTTTGGGTAAACTGTTCAGAGTATTCCTCACAACATTAAAAACTTCGTATAAATTATTTGTACCGTATTGTCTAGTTAAAGTAACAGGAGTGTCTTAGAAACACTGAATTCTTTTAAATTGAACTACAGATCCATAATTAAAATGTTATAATTAAAAAATGTCAGTGAGGTGACGGATAAGGAACACAGAGTGTCACCAGCCCTATTCATCCCGTGCGTGTCGTAAGAGCCAACTAAAGGAGTAAACTACGCAGGACAACAGCCTTGCAAAGAGAAGGAAATCTTGAAACAAAGCCTATACCTACCCATCTGGCCAGCGTGGTATAGTAGGCCAAAACATCCTGCCGCGGGCCGCCAGAGAGTGGGGACCTTTGGTGGCAGATTGATTGCTGCGGTAGGGGATGGAATGGCCTTCCTGATTGCATTAAGATACGATCGATCCGCCATGCCGCGATTGAAGGGGAAAGTGTTCTCCCCTGGGATAGGGCCTGATTAGGCATGGTGTCAATTCGAGGAGGACCTGAAATAACATGGTCCGGGTCCTCCCCAGAGTAGGACACCTAAGGCCGGCGGTCGGGGTGGTTTTTAGTGGAATCCAACCCGTCAACAAAAAAAAAAGGCAAAAACATCCTTCCTAAGGAGAGGCCTATGTCCAGCAGTGGACTAGTAAAGGCTGTTGATGATGACGATGAATTCAAATAACAATCATCACCTTTTCAGACATGGAATATACAATGCTGAGCATCTGTCTATTGTAACCCACTATTCAGTAGGCTATTCCTGACAGAGAAATAAGGCTGTCAAAAAATATGCACGTTATATTTTTTGCCGAATTAGTTAAGAACATTTTCTTTCTTAGTTTCAGGGAGAATAATGTGAATATTATTTCCGTGCCTCGTAGCTACATGTTTATGTGTAATGTTTAGAAAAAAAAAAGAAGGAGGTTTTCAATTCATTGCGATGTATGTTACTTGATACTCAAAGACGGGCAAGATTTTCTCAGAAAGTCTATATTTAGAAGATCGTATTAGGTAAAGAAGTGTTCTTGCAATCATTTAGACATTAAATAAACTCTTAAAAAATTAAAGTTACATCTATAGTGTTTTGTTTATTTTTTATAGTTATTTATATATCTGCTGTTGTTGTTTAGCAGCAGTATTGGGTAAACTGAAATAAATGATAAAGACATCACGGACGCTAAACTACCCAATAATAGGTATATTAAAACCTTTGAACTATGTGTTGAGATTTGAGAACTTTAATATTGTTGGTAGGCAATTTATGGTCGTCACAGTATATGTGATGAAGTATCTGGAACTGATGGTGATGAAGAACTACTATAGGATGAACCTCTAAGTACTAACGCGCGCTGACGCTCACGAAAGGTATTAAGTAGTTATTACACCCAGGTTGCATTGATCGTGGTCACAGGCTCACCAGGGTCAAGGCTACCATTGAATTGTCTGAAATTTACGTCTTATAGCAATTGAAGGCGTCAATAAACCGACAGTTATAAATATATATATATTTAAAATGTATCCTGTTTAATTTTGTAACATAACTACTAAGGTTTCTAACAACGACAACTGAGAATATGGCTTGGCAATCCATAATCTGATACGTACTGATGTATACTTTCGGTGACATATAATACAGCTTTTACGGTAACTAAAAAAATCTAGTAATCATTGAAACTTGGATGAAACTACCTTCTATTTAATGTCATAAAATTTTAGTTATAAGAGTTTTGCATCGATACAATTTTACAGCAATTTTTTTATTGAATACATGATACATGATAATAATAATTTTAAACATGGTCTTTTAATAGTTTTGTAAGTGGGAGGAATAACCTTTAATAGTGGAACACACGGGAACACTAAAAATTTTTGGGATAAAAGTGGTCTATGTGTTAATCCAGGTTGTCAGCTTCCTTCACAATTTTGTTATCAAAATTGGTCCAGCCGTTTGAACATGAAGAAGTAACCAACATATAAACACACATACTCACAAACTCTTAGCCTTTATGATATTAGTGTGATTTCACTTCCCTGTTCACAAGGTATTGGTTAATTAACATTATTGACGTAAAAATGACTGCAATTTCATTGCAATTTGAGTACTCCTAAATGCATTTATCATATCCAATCGTACGTGATGAAAGAAATAAATAAATATTTTGTTATTTCCATGAATGATACCGTTGCTTACGACTGTTTACGACGCCGCTGTTACTGTCTTCGCAGGAACTCCTACACAAATCGGCTCGACTTGATTGATACCACGTCCTCACAGAAATACGATCTTAGGCAATCATTTCATTGCTTTTCACAAGTCAAGAGTCAGTGAGGTTACCGAAGCATATAAACCTCTCCTCCTATTTATTTCGGTGCCAACGCTCTAGTGACTCTTCAGTTGCAGATGTCCATGGGCGACGGTAGGACTTACCATCAGTTATAAAATGATGTACTTTAAAAGCTTTACACAAATAAGTTTCTAGGTATCATCGTCATTTACAGCAGAAGAAAATATGAAATTGATACGTATAAATAAGTTACAGATATTTCTTAGATCTATTAATAGAAGAAAGCTCAGCAAAATAGTTTCATATTTAATCAAAATTAGTAATATACATAGATTTTATCAACATTTTTGCAATTGTGTGATATTCCTTCTCTCTATAATACCAATCTCCATAATTTATTTAAAAGTTATTCTATTTTCAATACTTGTCATAGGCTTTTTGATGGGAAGCACTAATTTTTTTTTGTAGTTGTGTATTGTGTTTGATTGTTAGAAATGTTTCTTAGGCGTTCTTGAACACTGTGTCTATGTTTCTTTTGGTTTTTGTTCTTCATTAGTACCATCTTTGTACTTTTTTGTTAATAAGATACTTAGTGATAAGTCCGAATTATTTCATTTTCATATATTGAAAAGATAGTGTTACTTTGCTCCCAGAGTTTAATGAATATTAAAGTATATTGCTAAAAATATTACAGTTTCGAAGATTCAATATTTAAGTGCTTTAAGCGGGAACGCTTCAAGTCGTTCATTTGAACCGATGGACTTAAATGCTTGAAAGCCAAAATCAGCTGATGGCGGCAAAAGGTTTAGATTGAAATTGACATTAACGTATGTGTTATCATTATTATGAGGGCCCACAGAACGATAAACGACTTTGGTCGGTTTTTCGGATTCATTCTGTCGTTGAACGACCGCAGTGTCAGCAGATTCTGAAAAAATAAACTTACATTATAACTGTTGAATTATTAATGCAATAATCAATCTCCAACATTCTAAGATGAGTCTTACTTTAAATATTAGAATAAGATTTAGGATCAGTGAGTAGTTTTCACTGTACATACCTATATGAGTGTATGTTTTCTAGTCGTGTATACTGTGCTCTACTGTGTGCTCTGCGCCCTGTTGTAACAGTTATTTTTTTATTATATTTGTATTGCGTACGGAGTTGTAAACAGTGACACCTGTTGCCCCGCGTCGCATTTATTGATTTATCCAAAGTAGATTATAACTATAGTATTAATGTCTCTTCGTCCGCCATCGGACCACTAGATGGCGTTGTTTTTTTGGTAAGTCGTAGTAATAATTTATCCTGACAAATTGTATTGGTGTTAAAAGTGTACTGTTATGGTAGGAAGGGGGTTACTGTTGAATTGAGTCGTGTTAACCTCGATGATAATTTGAATGACAATTTAAAATGATAAGAAAGGGATTCTTTCTAGAAATTTCACAAACCGAGCATATATAAGTCCGACTATCAGCCGCAGGGGACACTCTGGTGATTCTAGTCTTCCGATCTTAAGTAGTATTTTGTTTGTCTGGTAATTCATTTTAGTAAATACTTTGTCCTAAGTACCCACGTCAGTGGTAAGTTAATCTTAATTTTCTTGTAGTCATTTGTTTCTGGAACCTGAACGATTATATGAGTGCTAATCCATTCGTAGGGCTCCAGATTTCGGGTCAAGATAAACAATCTCAGACGGCGTGCTCTTTCGTTTGTGGCCTTCTGGTGCGTAATCGAGCTTCTCAGTACCCTCTGGTAAACTGGCAGTCACGCGGCTCACCAAGCAAGCGGTCAGCCTCATTGAAGGGTTACGTAATTCTTGTTAATGTAATTAATATAAATATTGAACCTTCCATTATACCTAATATAAATAGCCGACTCGGGCTGGTGTGGAAGTGGCCTGCTGGATTGCTGACGAGGAGGCTCCGAGCAGCATCAGTTCGGCCTTGACGCGCGCCGCTGCGGGATTTTTTTATATACCCACTATTTTATGTTTTTTTTTTGAATTTTAACTCTGTATTTAGTTGAAATATACATGTATGTATGACTGAGGTGTAAGTTGTCTTTCTCTGAGGAGTCCCTTAGGTGCCCACACGCACACCCTTCTGTTTTCGACAAGGCGCCCTGAGGTAATCTCGTGTATTTCTCCGCTGGGTAAGCCGTGAGTAGTCCGCCTGACACGTAAAGCGGTTACACTGTACGTGTTCTACTGCACATAATATTTACTGGTGTACACTACCAAGGCTTAGACCCAATTAGAATCACGATAATAGCTTTAATACCACTCTTATCATAATTTACGAATATGAGATTACAGGTATGAATATCAAGCACAAGTATTTTAAAAAAATTGATGATAAAAAATGAGAGTATTTCTTTGGAATTGTTCTAAGACTTTCTCACATGAAAATAAGTTTGTGACCTTATGTACGTGATTTTTTTTTATCTTACCATCAGTGTTTCTTTCTTCTTCTTTGCTTTTTAATTCTTTTAATATTTGTTCTGACAATTTCGTTGCATTTCGAACTTCTTGTAAAGTACCTAAAAACATTAGATATTGGCAAATTATTGTGCAAGAGATACATGAAAGCCTTCTTACATAGCAGTTGCATGGAATAAAAGAGAGTATTCAACGAAGTCGTATGCTGGTATCAGCGTAAATTCACACATTCTGTCCGTTGATGCAAAACACTACAGGAACTAAACTACAGAGAATACTACAAAAAGATTTCGTCAGATTTTAGGAAAGTATAATCAACAAATTGATTTATATTGAAAAAAAAGGTTTTTCTTAGACCTTGGCCTGCCTGGCACACCATTGTATTCAGAGGGCAAGGTTTTTGAACACGTCACGATACCGTCTCAAACCTGCTTCTGCTATCTCTATATATTCTATACATTCCCAGCTCTGATCCTAAAAATCGTGGTGTTATGTTACATAGTCTTCATTTATCTCAATTGAATACTTTAGACTTATCAGCTAAGATAAGTCTAAAGCTCAGCTTGTAAGCAATCACATAAAAAGGTTTTCAATGTTATTAAATTAGTACAGATAAGTTATAATTTATATTTATTAATATTTAAATAAACCTTACATACATATCGATTCTACCCCTTGTTTTAAATAAAATTAAGTTACGACATGAATGAATATTAAATGATTCCTGTTTCACGGGTTATTTTACAAACATTTGGACAAGAAACACAAAAACAATAAATAAATAATGAATACATACACCTCACTCGGCATCTGATCTAACTATGCAAAGCCTGTACTATGGTAACCAAACTGCTGATAACATACTTATATATTACTTAATAAATATATATTATATAATAGATAAATTACACCCAGACACAAAACAAATAACCGTGTTCATCACATAATATTTATCCTGCGTTTGAATCAAACCCACGACCTCCGGCTTAGCAGTCAGGGACACTAACCGGTTTGACTGCACGGATGGCTTAGTGGTTTCAGCGGTTACCTCACCGCTTCCTACATCGCTAAGTTTTGTGGGTTCGATCCCCACATGGGACAACCGTGTAATGACGGATTTTACATGAAGTGACGGATTAAGAATACGGAATGTCACTACCCCAATTCATCCCGTGGGTGTCGTAAGAGCCGACTAAGGGCGCAAAACAACGCATGGCACCAGCACTGCAAAAAGAAGGAAAACTTGACACGCTGGCCACACGGGTTGGTATCGTGGCATAGTAGGCCAAAACCTCCTTTCTATGGAGAGGCCAATGTCCAGGAGTGGACTATTAAAGGCTGTTGATGTGTGATGTGATGGGACAACATTTTGTGTGATCCACAAATTGTTATTCTGAGTGTGGGCGTTCTTTGCGTTCGTTTCATGTATGTTTGTAAAGTCCCCCGCGACACAGGATTTATTCCTAAAAAAATTAAAAAGAAAATAATCTAACCACTAGACGAACAGCCCCGACAAAAGAATGCCCTAGAATACTACTTTAGATCAATGAGTCACACTATGTATGTTTTAACTCGAATTTGAATCGACCATGGCTTAGTAGCAAGGTGTCCATCGCGTCATCGATGACGAAAAAAAATGACCATCTACTACATTATGTTAAATAATATAATTAATACATTATCGTAAAAATACACTTAAAAAAAAAACAGCGGAACGAAGTTCCTTTCACTTTTTAGTAGAGGTATAGCAAGAAGTGTCGGGAAAAAGTCTTTTAACACATTTTTCGGTCTTGCTCCTATCTGCTCAGAACGCGCGATAAGGAATTTCGTTCCAATACGTACTTCGTCCTAAAAGACAGGCAATGCGTTTGTGACTCCTGAGTTGCAGGCGTTCATGGGCGGCTGTAGTCACTTTCCATTACGTGGCCTGTCTGCTGGTCTGCCCCCTCTTCCATAAATTAAAATAACAAAAAAAAGGACTTACGGGATCTTTCTCTATTACTTTGCAGTTCAACATCTTTTATTTCCAAGTTCAATCGTGATAAACAACAATTTGTTTCTATAATTTTATATAAAAGAAATAAAATAAGTGCCAAAAGTACATAGTACATAAAGTCCATCTTCAAGTACAAAACTCAACGGCAGTTTTTAGACTGATTCGGATATCGATTTTATAGCGATATAAATTTTGTAATCTATATTATGTGTGTATACTAATATATATAATATCGGGCACGGCAGTGTCACGACTAAGTCGAGCAAAAAAGACAAAGGCGTATAAAACTATATAAGCAACTTTGTAATACTATACTCACGTCTTTATCCCCAACGGGTAAACAGAGGCGTATTGAATGTCCACATTTCGACGATTCTAATTTTGAGTATGTCAGTGGGACTGACATACTGAGAACCAAGCCGTCAACTGGGCATAAATATTTATAAATAAACATACTTATATGTTCCTAAATAATCATTGATTAATTACTCATTAATTACTGGGAACCGAACCAACGGTCAAAATTGTAATCTATGTTTATATTTAAAATGTTAAATTGGTTTGTGTACGTCTCAAAAACTCAAAAAAAATTGTACCGATTGAGCTCAAATTTTGACATGGTGTATAAACCGCTTCCAGAATGATTTTTGTCTATTTACCACGTCAATTTTGTATCTCATTTCTCATCAATACAACTTCAATGTGTCCCAGGGAAGCATAGCGGGGTACAACTACACTCGGTTCCAAAAATTACGGTTCAGTCACAAAAATTCAAATACCTCCAGAACTGTAAAAGTTAGATCAATGAAATAAATAACAGAATAAAGACTTTTTAGTTGCGCTTCTAATAGCATATTATTTTAACTGGTTGATGAAAAAACTTCATTAGAAAAACAAAATTTTTAAAAATGACTATTTTTAAGAACAAAATTTTTGTTTCATTTCATTATGGATGCTTTCCATTTCTATTCTGTCACAAAAAAAAAATATCGTGAACGTCTTCCGCATAATTATTATTCTGTGAGGTGAAGCATGGCAGTCACGCTAGAGGAATGTACCAGAATCCTAACTTTTTGGAACTTGGGCGGAGCCAGCGTGAAACAGCCAGAAACATTGGTGTATCTTTGTCGACTGTTCAGCGGGTAGTCCAGCGGTACCAAGAGACCGGATCACACCTTAGAAGACCAGGAAAAGGCAGACCAAGATGCACAACGGCCAGGGAAGACAGAGAACTGGTGGCTACAATGCTCCGAAATCGTTTTCAAAACTGCTGTTGGTCTAAAAACTCACTTTATTCGCTTTGGAGGTGGCAATTTAAGCGCTCAAACAGTAAGAAGACGTCTTGCTGAAGCAAATTTGAAACCATTGAGGCCCGCAAATGGCCCCAAACTGGAACGGGGACATCGAATTGCAAGACAGAGCGAATTGAATTGAATTGAATTGAATTGCGCGAGCACCTAAACTGGACACTAGACGATTGGTCTAGGGTAATGTTCACGGACGAGTCTAAATTCATTCTTTATAAGCATGATGGTAGGCAGTTGGTGTACAGAAGACCAGGGGAGCGCTTCCATCAAGCGTGTGTGGAGGAAAAAGTGGCGTACGGTGGAGGCTCCGTACAAGTTTGGGCTGGGATTTCTACTGAGGCCTGCACCGAGCTGGTACTCATTCAAAATGGAACTCTAAATGCAGAGAGGTACGTGGAAGAGATCCTCAATGAACATGCAGGTCCTTTCATGGCCAGGATGGACCGGCATGGCATATTAATGCATGATAATGCGCGTCCCCATACTGCCAGAAATGTACATGACTACCTTGAAGAGGTTTTTATCGAACTCATGCAGTGGCCAGCGCGAAGCCCGGACTTAAACCCCATCGAACACGCCTGGGACGAGCTTCAGAGATGCGTGAAAGGTCGAAACCCCCACCAATCACGCTTCCCGAGCTCAAACAAGCACTGGTGGAGGAATGGGAAGGTATTCCTTAGCACCGGCTCCGAAATTTGGTGTACAGCATGCCTAATCGCCTGGAGGCTGTCAAAAGACCTCGTGGAGGCAATACAAAGTATTAAATGAAGAAAGTGATGAAAAACAGCAAAAAAACAATCATAAAAAAAATGTAATCTTAAGAAAAATATGACTACTTTTGTTTTTTTTTAATTTAGAGATGCGTTAAGAGTAAGAGAGTTTAGATTTAAGTTTTATTTTATTTTTTATCTGTATAATTAAATTCTCAATTGAACAGTCTTCGTTTTATTAGGATGGCATACGTAGTTCGGGAGATATTCGGGTTTATGTGACTGACCCGTTATTTTTGGAACCGAGTTTATTTTTAAAATAAAAAATTATAATGTTACCTAAAAGATAATAGGTAATTAGTGACTAATTGTTACTATTATATACCTATATGAATATATTTAATAACTTTAATATAAACTCGTAGTTAGATTACAAATTAAGAAACATTTTGATATTTCACAGGTTTTGTGGTAAAACCATTTTGGAACTTGCGAAACTTGTGACACTCTTGTCTTGTTTTTGAGAGAATATTTTTAATAGTAGGGGAATCCCGGGAATTTTAAACAGGGTATCGTTTTTGACACGTGCATACTTCTTTGATTTCTGTTAAATAAGGTTATCTTATCTTGTCAATATAATAAGTCTAATATTATTCATTGCCGATAATACCTATACATAATATACAAACAAAATTGACGGTATTGTCACTATTTGTAATAGGCTTGGTATTTGGTCTACTTACTGGTTTCAAACTGAATAGTTAATATACTTCACAAATATTTATACATAAAACATGAGAAACCAAATGTTGGCTTCACGAATGAAGTTGTGGAGGAAGGGGTTCTATGTTATTCCAACACAAAGGGTGGTCCTCTGACCAGAGGCGGTGATCTTGTGTGGTGTACGTGGTAGTCGCCACAAAGTTAAGTTATGTATTTTAGTCTTTCTCAAATATCTTACTACTGAGCACTTTGAGTATAGATTTTTTGTTTATACTAGCATTATGGAGGTTCTATGTTTTTAACTCATTCAACTCAATGTCCGTGTGGTGACGGATTAAAAATACGGAGTATTGCCACCTTGTCGTAAGTGCCGACTAGGGGATCACATTACGCAGAACAATAGCACATGAAAAAGATGGAAAGCTTGAAACAAACCCTATACCAACCCATCTGGCCAGCGTGGTATAGTAGGCCAAAACCTCCTTTCTAAGGAGAGGCCTATGTCTAGCAGTGGACTATTAAAGGCTGTTGATGTGATGTGAACTCATTCAACAACAGTAATTCACTGTGTAAGGACAGTGACTTTTGAACAGTGTTGTTTAGGTTTGGATTCAACTTATTTAACCGCCACCGTAACGATGTACTGGCTAATGAAATATCATGATATAAATTTGACCACCGAGTGATGTCTCACATCAGATCATCATCAACAGCCTATAACAATCCACTGGTGGAAATATGCCTCTCCTTAGAAAGGAGGTTTTGGCCTACTATACCACGCTAGCCAGACGGGTTGGTACCTTCTCTTTGCAATGCTGTTGTCCTGAGTAATTTGCTCCCTTAGTCGGCTCTTACGACACCCACAGGAAAGGGGTGGGGACATTCCGTATTCTCAATCCATCACCACACGGAATGATGCTGAGTGATGTCTAATATTTGTTATTCTTTGTTTTTATTATGACGCCAAATGAAGACAAAATACAATTAATAGCCGTGTCACAGTTCCTTTTCTTTTAATTATAGCAATAAAACATACTAAGAGATATCTTATAATTGAGTAGCCATTGAGTATTTTACCGTTGTAAGAGATTGTGTAATAATGTTAGCAAGAACCTCACTACTATTACATTGAACTATCTAATTTACTAAATAACTGTAACCGCGGTCGAGTTTCGAATCTCGACCAACATTGAAGAAACCAACACACAATTTTTCGCCATTTTACCTTTTTTATTGTTGTTAAATAGTAAACTGATCTGACATTATAATTTGTCACTTTTCTTATTGTTATAAATACTTACAAGCCTTTGATGTGGCGAAAATTATTTTTTATTTAAAAATATTTTAAAATCATTTAACGACACTAATAAAGTGTTTTCAGGAGGAAGGAGGGGGTCATAAGCCGTAGATGGCCCGAGGTACGTCTTGGGACCAGGGCATGCCTTTCTATGGTACACCTTTCTAAGGTTCACCGGAGCCTGACAAGGGGTGCGGTTTTTAGTGAGTTCGAGTCCGAAATAACCAAGTAAAAAAAAAAGGGGGAAACGACCAGACGGATCACCAGATCGTAAGTGACTACCTAGTAGGTACTATAAGAGGTCCATAACTAGGAGGGCATTTTGTTGGGCCAACGGAAGTCTTACCCATCCGGTTAAATAAAACGAAAGTATTCCTGAATATCTTTGAGGTCCTGGTATCACTGTGTTTGCTGAGGTCTCGAGTTCGATGCCATTGGACCAAATGTTTGTATGATATGCAAATATTTGATTCAGAGTTTGGGTGTTTTTTTATGTTTAATATATGTATGTATTTACAAAGAAAAAGTATATAAAGTATATATTTTTTTGTATTCGATCAGTCAATCTAGCTTTCACAGTACAAGCTCTGCTTAGTTTGAAACTAGATTGCGTTGTATGTCAGATGTCCGAAATATTATAATTATAAGCGTACGACAAGTTTAGAATGTGACTACGCATTTTACGATTTGGCTATTCGATTAGCTATTGAATCTTTATTGTATTTACTAATAGCTGACCTTATAGACGTATTACTGTCGATTTAAAAATATATGTTTTTTTGTTTCGTTACGTCGTGCGTTCCTACTATTACGGTTAATTTAAAACTACGCTGACAGTATATGTGGTATATTATCTTGCACAGCATCTACGTCAATTTGACAAAATATGGAAGGCATCTCTAAACTAGAAATGTTATGTAATGTATTAGACAAAAAAACTAAGTGTCGCTATTTCGTGATCTTGCAATTTTGCAGCAGGTTTTAATCGATTTAACGATTAGCTCACGATATTTAAGTGTGTAGACTTAAAGCCAACCCCAACCTCGTTTGGGAAAAAGGCTCGCAGGAGGGAAGTAATCGCCGCCCCCTTAATTTTTTTTAATTAAATTAATTAAGTTTAATAAATTACAACCCAGTTTTTTTATGTCATTCAAATATTTTTGCAATGTTTTATTTTTTAGTTTATTAGAATTAATATTAAATAGATCATCCCTTATGACGTGAGTCCAATATTTTATTTCTTAAATGCTTCAATAAGAGATTTTCTTAGAGAATGCGAGCTTTATGGAGACGCAGTGCATATACCTCAATGTGATAATACTCATATTTATTTTTATTACTGACCTAGACTTCAGTTATAACAAAAAACATGTCTAATATCTTCAAAACGTCATAGGAACTATGTTTTTATACACTTTTTAAATAGCAAATGGTTTGGGTGAAAAATTGTATTAATAATTTTCAATAGAGTCTTTGCACAGGCAATTGACACTACACCTAAGTGTAGTAATTCCACCCAAGATCATTAATACAAATGTTTGACCTAAATCTGCATTAATTATTATGCCATTTTGTATCGTTTTATAACAAACATATTTTCTAACTTTTTAGGTAAAGCCGATTCAGAAAGCCAGTGTAGGTACTTTATAAAAATATTTTATTAACACTTTTAAACATTTCCCTATGCACCATATTCTAGAAAGTTATCACACTGTCAACAGTTTTATTATTAAAATGTTAATGTCATAATTTTTATTGAGATTTCTTTTCTTCTGGTTTCTCTTCTTTTTTCTCTTCAGACTCATCATCACTGTAAGTGTTTGGTTGTTCTCCCGGTTTCAGAAGCCGTCCCACAATGTCATACTTTGCTGTAAAAAATAAAATAATATTAATATATTATTACGGTTTGGTGAAAAGAAATGTTTATCAGAATTATTTTATAACTATTTTATTTAAATTAATATTACACGTAGAAAAACACCTAGAAATCGTTTTTTACGGTAGAATAACATGCAATTTTTGTTGTATCCAAAAGTTCTATCTAAAACATGAGATTTTTTTTATTTTATATATTTTCACATTAAGGAACCGATTATATTAAAGTTATAATAGAAGGAATCGTAAGTGAACTTTATTGTATATACATTAGATTCTTATATGAAACGATAATTTTTTTCTTCCTCTGAGCTCTTTCGCAAATTGGGTGGGGGTCGGCTTTAAGTTAACTATGATACGGCTAAACTTCGATTTAGCGAAGCTACTGCCATCAGACTTGCATGACCCAAGTAGGCGTAATCGAAGTTCTGTTGAAAGACTGCTGTCGGTCTTTTCAGGGTTGCAATTACCCGTAACGATTGCCACAGATGTGTTCGTATGCAACCGGTAACGACAGCTTAACGTGCTCTTCGAGGCACGGAGGAGTCTCAATGTGTTCAGAAATGATCACCCATCCATGGACTGACCTGGACAGGATTGCTTAACTTTGCAATGAGTTAACCAACTAGGTTAACAATTAGCCACAACCCCTAACGATAAAGTCTGTCGGTTATAATTTTGTTTTAATTAAATATGTTACACATTTCCATGAGACTGCTAAGTAAGTGTTAATTCTATACCCACGTAATCCATCAAAACGCTTGGAACAAAACACAGAATAAGTCATAGTATATTTCAAAAATACCTCTGAACTGTTCTTCCCATTCTTTGGCAGATTCAACTTCATCAGGTCCAAGATCACTGCAGTCATCGTACTCAGTCTCTGAACCAGCTACTTGTCCTGTAGCTAAACCTCTTGTAGCGTCTTTACCAGCGAACGCTGAATACGGGCCACCTGTAAAAAATTAAAAAGATTCTTGAATATTACAGAACTTTGGACACATAAGTAATGATTGAAATTGTAACTCTTATAATTTATTATTACATATTATAATGTGTCCGTGTGGTGACAGAGTAATCATACAGAGTGTCACCACCCTATCCATCCCGTGGGTATCGTAGGAGCCCAAGGAGCACCACAAGCTGTATAAAAGCTGTATTTTAGTTTATTTTTATACCACAGGCTGTATAGTGAGGCTGTACAAGGGCTGTATCAGCGCTTATACAGCCCTTATAAGTAAAAATTGGGCCCATTCTTATACAGCCTAATGCGTTATTATGGCTGTACAGTAGCTGTAGAAGTAAAAAATAGGCTGTAATATAGCTGCAGTGGAGCTGTAGTATGGTGTAAAAGAAAACCACAGGAATTTAGTTATCTTCTTATAAATGTCTTTAAAAGAAAACGGTTCTTAATCGGTTTTTTAAGATAATCACAAAGGGAAAAATTGTGAAACTTGTCAAATATTTTTATTTTAGATACAATAAATGGCGATCGATTAATATTTCATGCAAAGTTATAAATCAAGTAATGATCTTGGACTTTCTGTGTGATAATTTGTAGATTCGACGTGCCGATTTAATTTTGTTGTGAAATTATGTATAGTTTTGTGTCAAAATATTCACGCGCCCGCAATATAATCAAGATAAAGTAAAAAATATAACTAAAACGGGTAAGTAAGTTTATGGTTTTGAGGTTAGAATAATATAATATGCTTGAAAATACTGCATAATATTAGAGTACACTAATTATTTTAGCTGTAAAATTACGATAGCAGCTGTAGCTATTGTCAAATATCGTTTGATTTGTATTATGTTTTGTTTTTGTTTATTCAAAAATGGCGATAAATATTAAACAGCCTAAAGTATATATGGAGGGTATTATAGGTCCTGTAGTTTTACTACGCAGTTTTTAGATTCCATTGTACAGCTATTGCCTTTAAATAGGCATTATATTAGAATATTTTTAATATTTAGGCTGTATATCAGTTTTCAAAACATAAATTGTACAGCTCATTAGGGATACGTATTCAAAATGAAAAACCATGTATAATATCGCAGTCCCCGACGAACACTATGGTAATCGCTATTACGATAGAATCGGGTTTATTAGATATTCGTTATCTACACACCCTATTACAATCATTGAGTTTTTTTTATGATCGGGCGATGAATCCTTTTGGATTTATCCATTTAATAATGATCTTTATGTTTTTGTTCAACGTATAACATAAGTAAAAAATTTACACGATCAATAACGCAAAAAATTATTACCAAATCTCAAAAGTCAACATTTTAGAGTAAGCGGCTATTACCATATTGTTCGAGGGAAAAATGACAGAATCAGAATTTATACATAGGTACCGAAATGGTTATAACACCTAAAAATGATCATCGAATAAGCATGTAATTTATGTTTACCGTAATATTAAAGTCAGTTATATCATCGAATACGATTGCAATGTCATTTTACGAATATAAAGTATATTCATATTTACCAAGGAACAATATCATAATGAACGATTACTACAGCAACACCGATTTGTGATTACAGTCGAACACTATCGTAAAGTTAGTTTGCGTTAATTTTTTCCATAGCTTATTTCAGTAATGGACATTTTCACAATTTTCTTACTGATAAGGAAAATTTATGATAAAAATTAAGTAAAAATCTAGTGCAAAAAAATATTTCCTTATTTTTGATAAAAGAATCTTCTTTTTAGTCTTGATAGTATTCAAGATATTCAGTTTTTATTTGCTCCTGTAAAATTGTTATTTTCCTATTACGATTTTGTTCGTCGGGGACTGCGATATATCGCTAGCAATTGTTAGATTTCGCCGTTTACATCGCTCGCGGCTTACACACGTACAAGTCAAAATGTTTGCATAGCGATTGACAAAAACATCATTAATCCATTTTATGTATGATTTCAGGCACTTAATCAACCAGAGAAGTCATTAACTTCATCTACAGCTACAACATCCACACCGGTTCTTCCAACAACTGCAGCTGAATACGTTATTCAATATATAAATGACTCTGATGTGGCAACACAAAATACTAATTTCGAAACACAAATTCCAACACAACAAAACTACATACAACATACAACAAAACTAAATACAGCAAAACACTGATGTGAATCAGATTGAAAATTACCTAAAATTGATTTTAGACAATCAAATAAATATGACACAAACAATAAATGTTCTAATGGACAACCAGAAAAAAATGTTACACAAATTGGTGTGATTTTCCGTAAGACACCAAATTATGTGACTGTTTTTATTGCCTATCTAGTAAGTAAGTAGAAACTATTTGAGTATGTCCATGCGACAGTGTTTTAAAGATAAGTTAGCATTTAAGAACAAAACACGTAATCTCGTGACTGTGATTGTCCATAAGACACCAAATTATGTCCAGTGGTGATTGTTTATAGTTCTTTGAACATCTGCGGGTTTTCCAAAGAATAAAAATAAAAACTCATTTTCTTGATTACAAAGTGTTTTATTTATCTTTTAAACTTAAATTTAATTAATGTAAACTGTATGCAAAAGGGGTATAAAGTATAAGTAATTTTTGTGTTCAGTACATACTAATTTAGATTTTATATCTTTAGAACTAACTACGGTTTCTGTCCGCTTGATAGTAGATAATTTGGCTTTAATGTTTAAGTATGATGATTAAATTGGTTCTTCAAAAACATCGATTAAGCTAGTAATTTTATAGCCAATTATCTTTATTTTACTACTAACAACGGTTTCAATTTTTTTCACTTCCAAAATGTCACTATTGTATCATATAAAATATTTACCCTGGGGTTTCAAAGAAATTTTAAAATCTTTCAAATCCACGAGGTGTAGAGAATCATTTACTTGATAAAATTATGTATTGGTTTGACAGTACCTATAATTGCTCTAGCATCCCGCGGTAATATTCCCGGAAATCTGCAATTTAGTATTGTTGCTAAATCACTAAGAGCTTTTTGAGATATATTTCTTTCTATAGCCCATTCCTTAATTTTACGACGGAACAGTAAATTTTGTGAAAATTCGTCTTCTTTACTTGTACTGCTGCATGAAAATATGTCATTATCAATTTCTCAAGGTTTTATTAAAGTTTCACTTTCAATATCAATGTTTGACGTTTTTGCTGCGGAACCTTCGTAAGACGTCGACTGAAGGCGCTTGACTGTAGATTGCTCGATTCATAACTACATTTTTTTCATTCTCTATAAATGACAACTCAGTATCACTAGTTTCATTTGGTTGGTAATTTGTTATATTTTTATATTCTCTTTTAATCTTCCTTTTGACTCCACCGGACCTTTTTTCTTTTTTTCTACATATTTTTAACCAGAATTACACGTTTTTTTACTATTGCAATATATAGACGACTGACAATAAAACAGACTAAAGCTGTACTATAGAATTAATTTATTATTATAGTGTTTTAACATCATATTTGTCAGAAGTCATAAAACTCTATCACTTACAAGGGTGTATAATTACGCAATAATAATAAGTTTTATAAAGGAGTTTGCATATACCATTATACAGAATAAAGTATAGAGTGATACCATATTAACACATAAAGCTGTATTAAGTAAGTGATCACATGCAAGATACAGCCTCTGTGCAGCTTGAATAATAAACATTAGCTTAAAGTGTCAAAAATTCTTAAAGTTTTAAAGTAGAGTTTTAATATTCCGTTTTAGCACCTTTAGTTTACGCGGATTCTTTTATAAAGATTTAGTATAGCTTGAGCTGTATAATAACTGGTAAATCAACCTTTTAAATATAGAATCTTTTCTTGACACCCTTGTACGTCTCCAAAAGAACTCTAAGTTCTATAAGTGCTGCATATTTGATGTCGGTAACGCCTAAGTGCTCCTTGGGAGGCGACTAAGGGAGCAAACTACGCAGTACAACAGCACTGAAGGGACAAGGAAAACTTGACACAAACTGTATACCAACCCGTCTGGCCAGCGTGGCATAGGAAGCCAAAACCGCCTTTATAAGGAGAGGCCTATGTCCAGCAGTGGACTATTAAAGGTTGTTGATGTGATGATGATGATGTGATGATAATGTGGACCATAGCTGTACTGGTTGTTTAATATTTTGTTTCTTGTAGGAAAATGGTTATTTAAACTGACTATAAACAAGGTAAGAAATTGATAATAGACAATATGTTATTTTATCCAGAAGTAATGTATATTCAGTAGTTAATAGACGCAAACACTATAAAACTCCTGCATGTTTATAGAGAGAAAACAAGCATTCAACTTCCTTTTCAACTAAAATATGTGTAAAATCAAATTAATACATTATAATAATTATAACTTTAAGATATTTGTAATTATTTCTGAGAATGTCTTATATAAAGACAAATCACGGCTCGATGTTTAATGTACGGATTTTGAGTTATCTCCTACACGTAGTGACCTGATTTCTTTCAAAGGAGTTGAGGTCTATTTTTAAGTATTGCCAACGTTTTGACTTGCATACCGAAGATAAGTACGTAGTCCCATTATTAATTATTATTTAATTACTTTTTCTGTAGATGTAATCTGTTTTCTTCGACCTGCCTGTATGTAATATTTCTCTATATTTTTCTTGTTCTCTGTTCTACAAATATGTGAAATATGAGTCGCCAAGACTTTTTGTTATGGAAGAGAGGGCAAACGAACAGACGGTTCACCTGGTGGAAAGCGACTACTGCCGCCCATGAACGCCTGCAACTCGGCACAAACGCCGTGTGTGAGATGTGTGAGGTTTTCATTATCCATCGTCACCATCATAAGGATAGTCAAACCTTTTAGTTTATTAAAATTAAAGTAAATTACTGCATCATGACGTTTAAAGTTTTTATTAGTTTTCTTGTAATTGAAATCTATAATAATGCAAACTGTTTAAAAACGTTTTTTTATTTGTATCATAGGAACCAAACGATCAGAC